CCATGCCTAACAGCAGAGAAAGGAGAGAGCCCCTCGTAGCTTCATTGCTTTAGGCAGTGCAAATCTTACTGGCTTCAGTGCACTTTGCATCGAACTCATTGCTGGAAGAAAAAAACACCATAGTCCCTCCTAGCTTCTTTGGCTAACCAGGTCTCCCTACCCTCTGTCTGCAGCTAATAGAGGCTTATTTGCAGGATCCTGGATTAACTGACTTGACCCTGTCCAATTCAATTTCTCCCTTGGGGAAGATAGAGAAGTAGTTGAGTAAGTGTACAAGTGTACAAGACATTCGTAAGTGTCTATTTCCATGTGAAAGGGCTTAGAGAAGGTGGGACATCTGCACAGGCCATACAGCTGCTTTTCTGGCCTAACAACTAGAGGGCAGCTGGGATTCCTGGGGCATCTGAAATGATACTAGAAGCCTATATTTAGGCAACTGAATCAAGCCCTCAGCAAGGCCAAGAGATGTGTTCCATCCAGCAAGGTCAAGATCGCCTCCTGAAGAAGATGCCTTCTGAAGGCCAGCTAAGAAGCTCTGCAGACTTTGCTGCACAATTTGCTTAGCGATGCACCGAGTGTAATGGGAGATCAGACACCTGACTTACTGAGACAGAGACCAAATTTAGGTGTCTTCATTTATTTATTGGTCTTAAATGTTTAGTGAATATTTATTGTGAGTAAAAAAAGGGCATCCCAGAAATAGCCCTGAAAACACTGGTACAAGGTCAGTGCCCTGGCATCGATACATTTCAGTGGTTTACTGTGAAGTCAGTGACTCTAAGCTCTAAAGGACCTTGTGAAAGCAAACCCTGCGGTTGAATGTCTATTGCCAGAGACATTAGTTCACTTCTTCAGGTGCCAAATTTCTTTTCTACTCAGACCTGCTAGATGTCTGGATTTGATCTGGGCAATACAGATTTGAGGTCACGTATATGGATTACACCACAGTCCTTCAAAAGTTTGGTTGTCCAATTCACAGGGTCTAGATAAGACTAACTTCTTTCTGTAGCCACACCATGGGACTAGAAAAATGCATGGCTAACAGCATCTAGATCAGGGCTAGACAGATCAATTCCAGTTCTCGTACCTGTACTCCTTAATTCTTGTGAAGAGCATGAAAAGGACTTGTTACCACCCTCTTATTGCTTACTGGCTACAATATCCCAGTCCATGTCACTGGTGTGGAATTCAGGCTACCAAATTTTGCACTGTATCTGTCTCTACAAAAGCCAGTAACTCAGGTGGCCTTTACGGTCAAGGGACAAAATAGGTGTTGGGTGCAATTCCCCTGCCCTATTGTAGACATCTACTTTAGGATTAGATGATTCATACCTTGGACTCCATTGACTGTATTGAGCCGTTCTCCAATGATCACAGAAGGAACTAGCTCCAGCTGAGACTTGGGAAGAGCTACATAAAGTCAAGTGAGTCCCACTGGAATGGTCTTTAGAAGACTAGTATCCTGTGCCCAGATTGTATTTTTGCTCCATTTACAGGACAAGTCCCCCCTTCCAGTGACAGTCACCCTGGTTATTGATACTGTTGCTGAGACTCCAGCTGTGGCTGAGAACTATATGGTGCTAGGTGTCAAGGAGACACAGATGACTCAATGACTCAGACGATCCCTTCCCTACAGTACTAGCAAAGCCTTGTCTGACAAAGGGCAGGCTTCACAGCACAAGGATAATAGTGAGTCACTCTGGCTACACACTCCAAGGGCAGATGCAGCTGTGCCCACAAAGTTGTGTTTTGTGTCTATTAAGAAAAATACCCCACTATAGGGGAAAGAAACCAGTCCAGTGAATGTGTTGCTGTCTTGCTGCATTGCACTTGTACTTCAGAGGTGGGTGCATGTCCACAGCAGTGAGGAAAACTCAGGAGGAATCCTAGCTCTTCAATCCCAAAATGTGAAGGGCAGGCTGGTTTCACAGCTAACATGGGCTATACTGACTCATAATTATAGTACTGAGTAGGATCTTGCTGCACCTAATAAAACCAAACAAAGGATACAGGCAGACAGGTGAACTTAAGGAAGCAATAAGATTATATTGATCAGTTGACAGATTGGGGGAAAGAGAAACAGCCTTCAAAGCACTATTTCCATGGAGACTACTTTCCACTTCCTGTTTCTATGGCAGGTTTCATCAGGAGATCTTGATTGCCCTATGGTCTGCCTGGTCCTTGATGTGAAGGACAGAAAGGGAAAGATAGGAATTGCCTCTTTATTGGGAACCAGAAAGGGATACTGAGAGGGCAAATGTGAGCCTGACACCAATTCTACTGACACCAGTAAGAGTTCTTCCAAAGGCTTGAAATGTATGCCTAGAAAATTGACGGTGACCACCTTGCAAATGCAGAGACCCCACAGATCATGCACCTCAGCTTGTGGCTTCAGAGGAACCAGAACATGAGCTCCAAGACACAGATATTCCACTTCTTATTGCCAACCAGGAGGGTTTGGTGCCCACTGAAAGGTTAGGCAGCCTACAAACTAGTTATAGACTGGCTACAGGGCAACCATGTGCAGAAAAGCTAGAGATCACTGTATATAATGTGAAGACCTTTGGATTGAACCCCATGTATCCAATCTCAGATAGGAAACGCTCAGCTGGTGTAAATGATATTCCTTCCACTAGCTGCCACAAAGCAGTCACCCCCTAGGACTTTGCCTGATATAACCTAGACGCTACCTTTTTTTCTCAAATCTCGGCCTTTATGACCCCCACCAGATATGCTGTGTTCACAGTTACACACCTATCTATCATCTCCATCATTCTCCCCAGCTCTGCACTCTCTGAGAACACAAAAAAAAGCCACCCTCAAAATATTTTTTTATTGCTCTTGCAGGGATGGTCTGAAACCTTGCTCTTACAAGGCTGACAGTAGAAATTCAAGCTTGAATCATAGTGCTGTAGAGAAAATGGGCCCTGGCTGTCAGTACCTCAGGCATGACAGACTTCAGAAAGCTTCCATGGCAAAACAAGTAGAGGTAGTGTATGTGTTAGCATGGCAACCACTTCAAAATTAACATAAGCAGTATCCCATTAATGGTGTATATGTCCACCATGCTGGCTTGAAACAGGGTCCAATGCTGGAAGGACTGAAAATCTCTGCTTTGGACAAATACTAATTGGAAAAAGGATTTTATGTTTTGTGAAAATACATTCCTGGTAGCAACAATAACCTGCAATTTCTGACAGTATCTGCTGCATTGCAAATCCCTTTTTCATCCCAGACTGGCCTAGAGGTAGAGCAAACACAGAGGTACTCAATCCGCCTATTTCTAACCTGTAGACATATCTGTCCCTTCAAACACAAAATGCCAGGAGGCTGTGCATCGCTATTGCGATGCATACAATGAATAAAAGACTGACACAGTTCTCTTTCATCAGACACTTTTGTTTCCCAGCTACCGTAAAGATGGTTTGCATCACTTTGCAGAACTCAGGGCATTGACAGCAGTGAGTGGCATAGGCAGGCACATTTCCAGTCTTATTTGTATCTCTGCCGCACTGGGATCTATCATGCTAGCTGGCATGCCACATGGAAGGCTATGTGAAGACTCTTCCCTGCTCCTCCTCTTTGGCAGAGATGATAGGTCTAACTAGACAGAATTTCAAATCTCCCTTCTCCCTCCTCCCTCAGTTATCTCATTGAGGCACATGAATCTAAATGAGAGTTAGGAGGGGGAAAAGTTACAAAATTTTAATATATTAATTTAAATTTGCTGTGCATTGCCAATCAGCTCCAAGTTGAACGTGATCAAGCTGTTAGGACAGGATGCCTCCAAAAGCGGGGGATTAACATTAGGGTCTTCCAAGATATTCTCCAGCCCTGTGTAGTCCTGAAAACTAGAGAGACACCACTTTAAATCTGGAGATTTAAATCCAGCTTGTGCTGGCAAGTCCTCTAAAACATGTGAAGAAAATTCAGAATAAACATGCTAAAGTGGAAAGAGCAAATTACTCCAGCACTGGTGAGATAAAGGTGACGGAGAATATATTACACAACTTGCTTTTTTCTTTCTGCTGTTGCAAAGCCCAATGGAGGAAAGGGCAGTGCAGAGGGACAGGGATCCAGTGTAACACCATGAGCTGAGAAGGGAGACAACTCATCTTGCATTTAAATGCCCTCTTTCTCAGATTTTATCATGAAGTTTTTCTTCTTATTGGCTCATTATCAAACAGGATTTTTCTTCCCTGATCTTAGATCCAGAAACACTCTTAAGATAGGTGTCCTCTTCCTTTCCAGAGTAAAGAAAATGATGCCTGGTTTTATTGAAACCAACCCAGAGTAGTGTTTATTATTGAAAATATACAGTATTTTTGAACATCACATAAAAAGCCTAGTAGATACATCTGCTCTAGTTCAAAATGCTCAATAGATAATCTTTGTGCAGCATGTAGCACTATCCTCATAATGCAAACATCCTCTTCTCATTATTATTTTTACAGCGCTTCCCTTTAATATTTTTTAAACCCAGAAAACATGTTCTGTTGTCCTTCCCTACCCCAATCCTTTTAGCTGAAAAAAACCAAAGACTTTCCAAAGGCTACTTACATTGTGTTGAAAGTGTGGGGCTAAGAGGAATAAGGATATTTTATAGAGCTGTCTAGAGATATTGCTGTCCTTTTCAAAACTCTGTGTATGAACAGGGCATTGTTCTTGCAAGGCAAAGTGCCCTGTGTTAAACAGTCCAGCGATGTCCCGGCCAACTCCCAATCTATCAAAGGGAGAAATGGGGAAGGTAGATAAATTCTGATTTTTCACACCACCTTTCAGATGCTCTTTTTCTTGCTGCCACATGTTCTCAAATGACAGTTCTGCAGAGAAGAAATTTTTACAAAGAACCAAGAAAGACATGGGCTATCTATACACCAAACTGTTGAAATCATTAGGAATCAATGTACAGGGTGAGATGGGCAGTATGTTAAAAATAGTCTTTGTTCACCACAATACGGAAAGGAAAAACAAAAAAAAAGAAAGGAGAAAAAAATTGATTGTTCCTGCCAGTGTGCTGTTTCAGACTTTGTACTGTGAGCTTCCACAGGGTCCAGTCACTGTTGAATCTCTTTCTTCTTTGAATCTGTTTCAACACCACTTACTCCAAGAGGCTTTTGCCTGGTTGCCTTAAAGCAGCATCACGAGTATGGGAGATGAGAGTCCGCAAAAATATGATGGGCACCTCATTGCGAAAGAGAGCAGTGCAGAATAAAGGAAGAAAGTTTGAAGAAAGGGGCTTGGGGAGAGTGAAGAAAGAAGAACCCTGAAGGCCACCAGGTGGTACGTGTATGTGCAGGGCATATCACACGGCTGCGGTCTGTTTGATGCTATGGAAGCTGATTCGTGTCGGAGAGGTGGGGATAGACATGGCACGTGCCACACGCACTCGCAGGGAGTGATGGTCTTGCCAGCGGTGCCATCTTTTCCTGGCAGCAGAACGGACCTGGTGAAAAAAAAGGAAAGAGCATGCACACTTGAAATACTCAGGTGTCCTCTGTAAAGGGACACTAGACAGCTCTGAGACAAATGATGATACGTGTCAAGCCAGCGAAACATGCAGGGCTTGATTCAGCTGCCTAGACATGGGCATCTAGTTCACTTGATGTTCCCCTGGGTACTGCACTCTGGAAAAGCATGGGTTTCACATATCTCGTGTCTCATATCTGATGTCTTAAATACCCCAGAGCACTTCAAATGGCAATAAATGCCTAAGCTTATGCAATTGAATCAAGCTCTCTAGATGGAGGTCTTAGAGAGACCTATCACAGGGCCTGTAGTTGCCTCTGCTTCCCTTGTATATGAAGGGGAATCACAGATCATCTAGCTAAACATTGGTGTCTACAAAACAGACACACCTGACCTAATCCCTGTGAGCATCTTGTATGGGCGGTAGAGAGCTACTCTGCAGACAGCAGAAGGTCATCCTCAAGCAGATGCTTAGGCCAGATGAATCTTGGATTTTAAATGTATATTTTGTTGCATGAACCAAAGAGAGAGCCCAGGAGCTCTAGCTCAAATGTATTGTATATAAGCAAGAGAAAGACAGGTGACAGGAACCCTAGCCTCAAACACAATGGGATGGAAAGCTTGAGGTACTCCTAACATAGACTGTAATCAATTCCTGCCAAATCATTGACATAGAAGACTCAAAGCCAGAAGCTGGAATGGTCAGTTTACAAAATGAGTTAAATGAGATAGTTATATGAGATAGCCAGAGTCAGGATGGGCTGACTCAGCTGTATGCTACTACAGTAGAAGCCAGCCTGGACTGCTGACTTTCACTGTCTCATCAAACTGACCTCATTGGTTCACTGAACCGTTCTGTTAAAACATGAGAAACAGTGGAAAGAAGATGTGTCATGGTGGTGTACTTTCCTGGATGCACACTGTTTGCAAACCTATTATGGTTCTACCTGGAGTGGCCAAGGGATACTTATTTCTGGTTCTGGATTTAAGGGTGCATATAATATACATCCAAAAGGCAAATATATGTGCCAGAGTACATACAAGTGCGGATGCATCTCATCTGAAAGCTTGATACTTAGTCTTGGCCAATTATTTATGCTTTCAATATAGACAATGGAGAAAGTGAGATGATCCCCCTAAGGAGATGGCTTAGATATGTGGAATGAATAAGTCCTTGCTCCATCTTGCTCCTCTGAGTACAAACCAGCTTAGCTAAATGTTGGGCACCTAAGGCAAATGGTATAAGTAACATGTAAAGTGTCAGAGGGGTAACCATTATCGTGGGAAATTGCCCCATGAAGAACATGGGACTTGATCTGCAGAGGAATATTGCCTCTTGAATGCTCATTTCTCCCCAGATGTCACCAAATGTTGAGATATTGTTAGAAAAAGTTTTTCCCCCTTTCTGGTGGAGTTAAATTCACCCTTGTATAGAGAGCCTGTGATCCACTTGAGTCCTTCAAAGAGGTGAATTTCTTAATCTCTGGTGCAAAAGCAGAGAATAAATCTCTGTGTACAGCACAGTCTTACTAAAGACATTAATAGCAGACTGGCAGTCCTGTGAATTCATGTATCCCAGGTACTCCTACGGCAGCATTTCATTGGGTCATGGAAATGGGGAGTCACCTGGTGGGCTTTTTGTGTTTCTGAGCAACTTGTGTCAACAGATACTTACTCAGCCAGTGAAGCCAGACTAGATTTATCATTTGTGCTTCAAACCAATCAAGTCAAAAAGAGTCATCTGGGGATAAAGACGTGAGTCTAAACAAGCAGTTGTCCAAATGGTTTTTATGATATGGTTTGCTTACAAGCTGTGAGAAAGGATAAAAAGTAGTAACAAAAATGCTGTCGTCTTGTACAGCTGGAGCCATTCCTAATGGGCTGGGCACATGGAAATAGACTCTGCACTTACAGGGGTGAGTGCAAAGCATTTCTTAATGACAGAACAATTCACTGCAATTAGGATGTGACCAGAGCGCAAGCAGAAAAGGTTAAACTCAAATTTGCCTCTTACAATTGAACTCAGGAACAAAATGCTAGCTTAACTTTAGGTTCAAAAAAAAAGAAAAAAGAGTGTGACTGCTATAATAACATGTTAAAAAAGACACCAAAAAAGCCATTACACAGTGGAAGAGTAATAGAAAAAGATAAAGCAAAATAGCAACTTCAAACCTGGTTGTTAATCTCCATGAGAGCAACTACCTCTACCCGTTAAGCATTTGTAGAGTCAGTACCATGTCCTAGAGTCAGCATTAGCACATCTATGACCTGAAACTAACAGCACTTGCCTGTAATAACCCAAAGATTCTACAGGCTATCATCAGTGGTTAAAGCTTAACAAAGAGGCTTGGGAATACAAATTATCAGCTTCACCTCTATGTAACTTTAGTTGCTTGAGATGAACAAAATTTACCCGTGCTGCTGAGCAGAGAGCTCTGTTCTCTGTGCTGACCCATGGTCTGTCTTTTTCTTGTGAACAGTTACTCTCTCAGAATTACTCTTTTCAGCTCTTTGCCCTTTGCCTACTGTGAATAATCACAGTTTCTGAACATGTGGTCAAATCAGATTTACCAACATATTTGTGCCTGCAGAGTGTGGGCACTGCTCTCAGCAGGATTGCTTTAGAACAGTCAAGAGAAAGAATTCAGGTGATGGGATGAGAGAAGTCAGTGGGTGATAGTTTTTCTTTCCTGATTGGATCACCTAACCGAGGAGTTCTCAAACTTTCAGATCACATCTGAAAATCACTAAGAACCACATCTGTTCATAAACTGCTCCTCCTCCGCAGAAGAAGAACAATAAAAAGAATGAAAGAGATGGAGAGAAGGATGAAAACATGCAGAGAAGGTTTGCTTTTGATAAAATAGACATCAGCTTTGTATTGCTATTATGTATGCTAGACAGTGGCTGCTGGCTAATTTCTTGCAGCCATCAACTAGAAATGATTCGAAGAAAGACCCTTTAGCGACATTAAAAATCAATTTTTGGAAGAAATGTCATGTCTTATTAGCAGAGAGGAAGAAAGCTTGATCCGTTTACACAGTGCTTAGAACAAAGGGGCCCATTCACTTGGGGCTTCTTGGTGAAATACTAAAATATAATAGTAGTAACGTAGGTAAAAAGGAAGGGTCTGATAAGAAGAGTAGGATTAAATGAGCTATCATGGTAATGGAAGCTGGAGGTAAGACTACTGGGACACCGCCATACTCTGTCCCCAGAGAACATCTCTCACATGAAAGTGTTAACAAGTGAGGGGCAAAGGGACAACAGGTACTCTCTGACTATAGAATAAACATGATGTTCAGTAGTCTATGACTATAAAACCCTAATTAAGTTCTTGCTTTTACTCCTGGAAAACCTGATCCAAAGCCAAATGAAATAAATGAAAAAGGTTTATATAGATCTCATGGCCTTTGAAACAGACCGATTTTTGCCCTATGAAAATAGATTTCAGCGATGAATTCATCAAGTTCCACTACACTTAAGCACCTTTGTGCCATGTTTCAGATCCCTGTGCTGCAGTTGGAGGTAACTGGAGAATAACTTTGGACTTTAAACATCTTTGGTTATGAATGGCGGTGCAAATTGTGGAAAAGTTGATGAAGATTTATTCAATTTTATTGTAAGCTACAGATGAGCAAGAGGGACTTTCAAGCAATGTCCAGATCAGCAAAAGGGAACTGGCTACGCAAACTTTGAATTTCAAGACACTGGTCTCACTGTGTCTCACTCTGTAGTGTAATCCACTTCCATGAAGTTTCTGAAGACCTGGCCTCTCTCTGTATCCAGCAGAGACATAGGAAAGGCCATAAGGTATTGTCAACTAAAATAGGTTAGATGAATTCTACCCTGATCTGTGTGAATCATTGCCTATAAAGGGAGTTGAGGGTGATCAGCTCAACTGCATATGTGTATGTATTAGATGTCTAATGTTAAGGGGATAAATCCCATCCATTACATAATAGAACTTAGACTAAAGTAAGGTGATACCTTACATGATACCTTGAAAGTTTTCCAGAGGGTTAGGCTGGCCCCCGGGGGAGGAGGATCAGTAAATGCTCAATTTAACAGTAAATGCTGTGAAGAAGCTTATAGGCCAAGCCTCTCCAGATCCTTGGAAAGATTAGTGCAGTCCTGAATGGAAGCAAAGAAACAGAACGGCCTAAGCACAGAGCCCACTGGACTGACAGACCTGGGGATCTGCAGATGAGGAATGCTCACCTCCTAACGCTCTCAGAGGGATAGGAGTGAGTCTTCATCTATTTTTTGTAAATAAAGTGTATCACTGAGCAACTATACCTATGTCCTACAGCCACCTCTCACCCTATTGATATGGCTTTACAAGGCTCCCAGTAAAGCCAAACTCTCAGGCCAAAGATGACCATGTTATCATTAGACCAAAAATTAAACTAAACATCTCTATAAAGATGCCATTATCAGTGTTTAATCCTCCTAAGGTAGGGAAGAGATGTAGTCAAAACAATCTGCAAGGCTCAAAGGAAACATGGCAATAAATGTAATCTTACAAAAATGTAGCTCAGGTGGAACTTTTTTCCCCCAAATAGCCGACATCACACCACTATTTTATGTAACATTGTTAAGTTTCTTTTTATCCCTAAAAAAATTAGCCTGCTTAACTGGTCTGCAATTCATTTTTTTGCCAGAGTCTTTGGCAGCAATTCCATACAACCCGGTAACAGGTGAATAGTTTTGCAGCACCTGCCAGACTGGGATGTTGGAGTTTTATTTCTAAGATCACAGCAGTGCAATTTTGTTATCATATATAACTGTTCGAGAAGCTAGAACAGTTCTGACTAGTTATAAAGATTTGCCACACATTTTGAGGTGGAAGCAAATGCTGCTCCCTCCTTCTGGGACACAAAGGACCAGAACTAACCACTAGAGAGGGAGGCCATGAATGCAATCAGCCCACCCCAAGCCTCTGTGATTTTGTTGAGTGCTCTGGAGGCACGCTCA